GACTGACTTACTGACTGACTTACTGACTGACTTACTGACTGACTTACTGACTGACTTACTGACTGACTTACTGACTGACTTACTGACTGACTTACTTACTGACTGACTTACTGACTGACTTACTGACTGACTGACTGACTGACTGACACTTACTTACTGACTGACTTACTGACTGACTTACTTACTGACTGACTGACTTAATTACTGACTTACTGACTTACTTACTGACTTACTTACTGACTGACTGACTTACTTGCTGACTGACTGACTGACTTGCTTACTTTACTTTGCTTACGGGCTTATGGGATCTGTAAAACTGACAGGGATGTAGCAATTTTTGTTTGCCAAGGTGGCCATCTTGAAAGGTATTTGCTCCACAAAGTAATCAATATCCAGTAGTTTTGTTTAATTTTGTGTACTGCATCATGAGATATTTCATTAAACATACAGAAAAACAAATACAAACACTTGCAAAAATATTACTGCTTTATCTACAAGATTTTTTTCTTTTTGTTTTAATTAATGAATAAAATAATAACAAAATTAACATCTGGAGCAAAAACAATTAGCTATATTTCTGTCAGTTTTACAGATTGACTCCAGATTTCTTTTTGACACGATGGGTTTTAACTTGGACAGTCTCCTCAGTTGAAAAAAGCAGGATTTAACAAAGGAGTTTACATGACCGTTTGATTTCAAGTATGGATCCATTTTTACACCTAGGTTGGTGACAAGTTGTTTTTCAAACGGGGCCAGAGTGGAAAGGTCAATGCAAATGTTACTGTTTGTGTTGTTAGTTGAAAACAGAATGACTTCTGTTTTCTTTTCATTAAAGTTTAGGAAGTTTAAAGCCATCCAATCCCTGATGTCAGCCAGGCAGTCAAAAAGAGGTTGGATGCAGTGTGGGCCAGCCTGTTTCAGAGGAAAGTAAATTTGACAGTCGTCCGTATAAAGATGAAATGGCCATGTTTATGAAAAATTGCACCTAGGGGCAGTAGGTATAAGGAAAAAAGAAGGGGTCCCAGGATAGAGCCCTGTGGTACTCCCCATTGCAGTGGTGCTGATGAGGACATGAAGTCCTTGATGTTAACACAGAAGTGTCTGTCTGTCAGGTAGGACTTGAACCAACCGAGGGCCGAACCTGTGATACCCACCTCCTTCTCCAGCCTGGAAATGAGGATGTTGTCAAAGGCTGATTGTGAGGTCTAATAGCACAAGGAGGACAGATTCACCAGAGTCTAGAGCTAAAAAGATGTCGAACACCTTCAACAGAGCAGACTCAGTGCTGTGATGGGATCTGTGATCCTCCAAGAAAGGTTTTAACTGAGCGTCCACTACTTTTTCCAACAGCTTTGACAGAAATGGCAGTTTGGATACCGGTCTAAAGTTAGACACTATGGAAGGATCAAGGCCATTTCTTTTCAGGAGGGGCTGCACAGCTGCCTGTTTAAAGCTTTGTGGGACTACACCTGAAGTTACGCTGCTGTTTATGATGTTAAGAACAGAAAGACCCAGAGTGGGGAAGATCTCTTTTAGAGGTTGTTGGGGAAYTGTATCAAAGGGGGATCCAGATGGTTTTAAGCTGTAAAACAGCTTCTCTATGTGGGACGGATGGGCTCAAAGTGATCAAATACTGCTGGACAAGGAGTTAAGATGGACGGATCATGAGCTGGTGTGGTGATGAGAGCCCGAGTTTGAAAATCTTTATCTATGAAGAAGGTGAGAAATTCCTCACACGGTTCAGAGGAGGCTTCCAGGTGGGCTGCTTCATTCAGATGGAGAACAGTATTCAGAGTAGAATAGAGGATTCGGGGGTTGTGYGAGTTTGAGGCGATGTCTTWTGGGAAGTATTTACCTTTCGCAGCAGATAAGAACACCAGCTCTGTTTTAGCAACTCAAAAGAAACCTGCAGTTTGTCCTTTCTCCACCTCGACACTCACGCCTGAGTGCTCTGGTTTCATCATTTAAACCAAGGTTCATTCCTGGACTTCATGTTTGGATGAACTATAACAGAGTGAACCCATTTTAAGATGGCATTGATGCTAGAAAACACAAAAATGGTTACAGCTCAGCTAATTTCACAAATATGGAGTTAAAATTAGGTGGTAGTAGCTGAGAGTCCGTAGGTGAAATACTGGACCTTTGTTTGTTTGTATGTTTTTTGTCCAGATTGTAACACAATTGTGACACACTAAAGCAGTGGTTCCCAAACTTTGTATCTTCTGACCCACAAAATATCCATGGCAAAATCTTGTGACCCCAAATATTACTGGTCTGAGTACACGGATTTCGTTAATAACCCTAAAAACACAGGCTTTTTGACAATCTAAACAGCTTGTACACAAATATAAATACTTATTTTTACTTTTGTGTTTTTGTAATAATTATAGGGAAAATATTACATCAGCAATTATTTTATTACACTTTAATTTGATTTATGGAGATTATCCAAGGTGCTTCATGACCCATAACTGGGTCCCAAGCACAACTTTGGGAACCAAAGTGCAGTGGTTCCCAAACTTTTCAGCTTTTGACCCACAAAATAACAGCAGCAGAGACCTGTGCCCACAACTGTTTTTGGATGATAAACATTTGTATCAGGTCAACAAAACATGGGCATAACAATAGTTTTATCCATTTTAAATATACTAACCTCACTCTTTTGTAACTATGGCAAAAACTCAGAAAATCTTTTCAGGACCCCACCTTGATGTTTTGGGACCCCACTTTGGGTCCYGACCCCAACTTTGGGAAACACTGCACTAAAGTAATCAAAATAAGATACTTTGATAACTACTGCTTTAATTTAATTTTTTTTTAATGACACTTGTCWGCAGGTTTGAAATGTGCAGAAAGAGGCAGCGGTGGCATCTTGGCTTCAGTGACCGACCCCAGGGCTTTTGTTTGGACCTTTGCCCGCCCTGCATGGACCGTGTGACAGATGGGGGGGCTCTCTTTTGTGTGGATACCCCTCGACTAAAAAAAAAAAAAAACAACATGACCTCCAGCGTCACACGCACGGGTGGGAGTTGTCTGCTGCTGGTTAAAACGCATTGTTGTGGGCGGATGATTCGTCCGTGCTCCTGCCTGCTGTTCCTGCTGCTAAAACCTGCCTCTGGTCGACGACTGTAGCCTTTGAATGGCCCACGAAGCAAACAACTGCGCGTTTTCTGCACATTTTAACATCGGGACTCTTCGGGCACCGAGCAGGCCTCTTCCTGTTTCATTATTTACAGAAAAGACCCGAGACTCTCCCGTTGGATGATACTGTTGTGCACGGAATCCGAGCGCTTTTCGCAGGCCGTTGCTTTGTAAGGTAAAACTATTTAATACATCCGYGGTTTGTGCATTGGCTTTGTTTGGTGCTTTTTTAGCTTTTCCTTTGTATTCGTGTAGACGAGAAGTCTACGCAATTAATGCGTGGTATGTTTAAAACGAAACGCAGTTGCAAATCAAAGAGATTTTACGTTTGACGCCGTTCGCTCCGTTTAGCTTCTCTTGCTAGCTAGCGAGCTAGCTAGCTAACGGTATTGTTAGCATGTCGGTGACTCGGAATGTGAGTGAAAAGCGTCTTTCGGCCAAATCGGGAAGTTTTTACCGTACCCTGTGTTCATCCTCCGACAACTCCACGTCTGGTCGCCTCCCACTCAGTTTAATGTCTCATGTTGCTGGCTAATTTTCTACCTTACAAGTTGCGGAAATAAGCTAGTTTATGTACTTTGAGCTACTAAAACCGATTCTCTATTTTGCTTTCARTCATCCGGACTGTCTAAACCATTAAGTTATTTCGTAAAGAATAGAAAAATTAGCTTTAAACACGCTTTGGTTAAGAAATCATCGAAGTTAGCATAGCCCTTTTTTTCAGTGTGTAACGGTATCCTAGCAACCAGAGGTAATTGATGTTATTAGTTAGCATAATTAGCTACCTGCTAAATGTTAAAACACTATAGTAGTTGCTGTCTCATGAATTAAAATTCCATTGAGGCATTTACCTGGGTAAGTAAAGAATATACATATGTTTTTATTTCAAGCCTTGTTGAAGAAGTAAACCTTTTGGATAATTTTTAATCTTACACCAATATTAAACCTGATTACAAAAGAACATCACAAACCAGACAAAATAACACAAAAACCATGTGATTATCTCAAGTATGAGTTGATGTTTAAGTGAAATCAGCTTATGTTTTTTTTGTGACCATTTCACCTTGTTCTTATCTATTTTTGCTCTTATCTTCCTCAGTGTTCAACATATCGGCATGAAATTTTAGGAAAAAGGACTTTCTGATTTTTGTAGGAAGCATCTTGTATCCTGAAAACTAATAAAACTTAATAATAGCCAATGCATAAGTAGCAGAAAAGGTATAAAATAATATTACAAGGCAAACTGCAGCRTCAAACCAACTTAACGTGGTTTAGAAAGTAAGGAAATTAAAACTATTTAAAAACTATGCAGATATTTCATTAGTAAACAAAGCTCCTCAACCAATGACGGCATGTTAAATGTGTCAGGTGACGAAGGCGAGCGTCAGCACTTTGCAACAAGCTCTGTTCCAGATAAAAATTAWAACATTCTTCGACGTTTCAAATCGTTATCAAATTTGGAGCAAGGGCAGATACAATAATGTTCTTCATGGCAGCTTATATCTCTAAGGACACAACTCAACAACAAGTCGGTCTCCATGGAGCCCAGAGGGACTTCATGTAACTCCTGTAACTATTATGGTTTGATGACCCAYACCCCCCAAAAAATGTCAACATTACCAGAAAGCTTTATTGTCACATGCACGGTAAAAAAAMCTGTGCATATAACAAAATATTTTATGTAAATCTAAGTGCAAGCAAGTAACAAAAGATAAGATAAATAAGCATGCAACAATATGATAACAAAAATATTAGTGAATAGAAATGTAAACTATACAGAAATATAAACAATGCCAATAAGCCTATGTTTGCTGTTACCTGGTACTGGTTTATTTTGATTTAATGGCTGCAACAACATTTTTAAAATCTAAAATAAATATAGAACCATTCTCAGTTACCTCCGTCGTGTATATTTGTAATAATATAATATTGTACTATAGTGAGAAACTTTTATTCTATTTGGTTTCACTCAGCATGTAGCCTACAGATAGGATATTTACTTTTGTGCAGTTTATATAAAGTTTATGCACTTTTATTAACACGTTTTCGTATGTCTGTAG